GTGGGAGGAGGTGAGGAGAGTGGGAGGAGGTGAGGAGAGTGGGAGGAGGTGAGGAGAGTGGGAGGAGGTGAGGAGAGTGGGAGGAGGTGAGGACAGTGGGGAGACAGTCAGATCACGCGGGATCCGCAGGAGCACAGTAAGACTTTGACTCCTCGTCAAGAGAGCCGTGGAAGGGTGCAAGCAGAGGAGGATCACAGCCTGCCCTAGGTTTTAACATGATCCTTCCAGACACTGGTTGGGAGATGAACCAGAGGGACAGAAGCCAAGTGACTGGGGAGGAGGTGACCGTCCTTGTCCTGGCGGACGATGTTGGTGGCTGCATCCCGGGAGGGAGCAGCGAGAAGCAGGGCACCCTGGATGCAGTTTGCCGGGGATGTCAAGGAGGTTTGTCAGTGGCGTGGAGATGGTGAGACGGCCACGAGGTGCCAGCCTCCGCTCGGGCTAGGAGAACTCTTCGAGGAGCCCCAAACCTGAGGTGCAGGCTCTCTTTGCTGTGACACTGCCCTCCTGGATTGTCACACCATCTCCAGAGCCCACACCCCCCTGCTCTGCTCATGTCCCTCCGGGCAGGAGGCCTCAGATGGTATCTCTCTTCTCCTTTCCAACTTCCTCTTCTCTCTGCAGACTTGGGGCCAGTTCCCGCTGATGCGCTCTGGAGTCTGAGCAGCCAGGCACCTGCCGACCTTCCCTGCTCATACGCCACCCCCTCCCCACCGAGTCCCCCAAACTCCCGCCAGCTCGGACCTCTGCACCCGCTGCCCCCGCTACCAGGAGGCCCTGCCCACTCCACCCTGTGGCCTGGGCAGCTCCGCTGCATCCACCCGGGTGACAGCCAAAGCGTCCTCCCCCAGGAAATCTTCCCAACCACCCAGTGGACCCCTCTAAAAAAAATCGTACAGAAACAGTGCACATTTAAAAAAATGAAGCATAAATAACTTTGATTAGAAAAATAAGTTTGGATAAGTCTAAAGTTCATCGTAATAAAGAAGAACAGTAGCTCTTGGATCAAATGCACGTTTCAGAGAGCCAAGGAACAAAGGCACAAATCAGGAGACTGTTTAAGTTACCCAACTTTTTTCTGCACCTTAGTTTACTGTAAGATGTGTGTTCTCCATTCCTACCAGATCAAAGAGAGCATAGGAGTTTTATTGCTAAAAACATAGTAAATTTCCTGATCCCTGCCCTGTTTGGGTTCCATCTTACCACCCACGCCCACAACACACCACCGTTTTACCTTAAAGACCCTAAAGAAAATTTTAACTCATTTTCTCCTTCTTCCATAAAATGCAAGGCCACAGCGGGCACAGCGGGCACAGTGGGCACAGAGGGCACAGCGGGCACATCGGGCACAGCAGGCACAGTGGGCACAGAGGGCACAGCGGGCACAGCAGGGACAGAGGGCACAGCAGGGACAGAGGGCACAGCGGGCACAGCAGGCACAGTGGGCACAGAGGGTACAGCGGGCACAGAGGGCACAGCAGGCACAGCAGGGACAGAGGGCACAGTGGGCACAGCGGGCACAGCGGGCACAGAGGGTGCGGGGAGTCGGCCTGACACAAAACCCTGCCCTTCAGCCGGACACCCAGGAGCCACCCAGCCAAGCTTTGAAGTGAATCCAACCAAAGCTCTCCCAGCCCAACGTAGGTCACATCTGTGCACACGCACACACGCACGCACACGCGCACACACATACATACACACCACTTTGAGGCACCTGCCACAGTGAGGCCCACAGGGACCCGGGTTTCCAGTCCTGGGACCCCGACCGCCTTCCTCCTGCTGGGAGAGAACTCCCCACCGTTCGTGGAGACCCGCGGTGCAGCGCCCACTCTGGTGGCCTTTGAAAGGCCCGGGAGACCAACAGCACCCGGAGGGGCCAGGTCTGCTCAGAGCTAAGACTTGGCAAGGTGGGCTGCTGGGGGTCCCAAGCACTGCCCTCCATGGAAGGGGCAGCGTGGACCCTCTTCCCAGAGCCGCCAAGACGCCTTAACAGGGCTCCGCCTCAAGTGAGGGTGCAGAGCCCCGCAGCCGACCTCCCAGGCCCCCCAGGAACCCCGAGCGGCAGCCCCGGGGCACAGAGCCTTGTCCACCCTCCGAGCACCCGCCACTCTGAGCAGTCGGCCACGCGCTCAGACTCCATGAGCCAGGGACAGCCCTGCGTCAGCTGGCCAGCCAGGGCCAGACACCTGGCCAGCAGCATCCCCCTGGGCGCGCTGCCAGGGTTCCTTGGGATGAGGCCACACTCTCGGAGCCAGAAACAGGAAAAACAGGCCTCTCTGCTCCGCCTGAGGCCACGGAGACTTTTCCGAGGACAAGGACTGCGGGGTCACTTTGAGGCTGGGACACAGCTCTTTTCTGGTCCCCACTCTGGAGATGAAGAGCCAGTGAGGGCAGCCCTCGCCCACACTTCCTGGTGCATCAGGCACCGCTCTAGACGCTGCTGACTGCAGTGAAGCAAGAGAGGCAGACCCACCT